ACAATATTAAGTGATTACTCACGTTATTTTTAACGATATTTTGATCAATATTGAACAAAGACATTTTAAAGAAAAAATAAAGAATCCAATTTTATTTATAAGAAAATCAATTAATAATATTACAAAAAATCAACAAAAACAAATATGAAAAATTATAATTAATTTTGATTACTATCTATTTGTTCAAATCTTTCTTCTTAAGTTATTGCTAAAAAACTATTCACGTTATTTCTAATTTCTTCATCGAGTATTACAATATTTTCAGTATTTCTTCTTTGTCTTTTGGCAGTAATTTCTTCTTCAATCACATCTTCAAAATTATCTTCTGATTGTAATTCGTGTTCTCTTTTCTTGATTCTTTCATCTATATCTGCTTTTTTTTGAATATATTTTTTATTTATTATTTCAATTTGTTTTTTTTCATCATCGTTCAGTTTTGCTAAATTTTTTTTATATTCATTCAATAATCTAGTTCTTCTTCGTTTTATAGTGGTTTGAAGTGTTTTAATTTCATCTTCTTGTCCTTTATCAAAATCTTCTATTTTCAAATTATTTAATTCGTTTGTAATATTATGTTTTCTTTTTCTTCGAAGTTCGTTTTGTAGTTTAATTTGTTTAACTATATTTTCGATTTCATCTTCTGATATCTCGTATCGACAATTTGGACAATTGATAAATGAAGTATCTCGATTATTAATCAAACTAAGCACACATTGACGATGAAATGGATGGGGGTGGGCGGAACAAGGAAGAAAAAAAATATTGTTGGATTTTAATTTTTCGCAGCAAATAGTACATGATTCGGTATTCATTTTTTTTTTGAAATTTAGAATTTTGCCATGATTTGTGATTTTTTATAAAAATTTATATATTTGGTTTATTTTAATTAAAGAATATTTAATTAAATTTGGATTATCGTTTATTTGTGTAATATTTATTAAACGATTAATTTATTTGTTATACAAATAATAAACAAAAAAAAAAAAAATTTTAAGAATTTCGAAGGTATAATTAAAAAAGATGGTGATTTTCAATATGACATATTTCATATCCAAAATGATTGGAACATTTTGAACACGTGATTTTTATCTTAAGAACGGGCTTTTCTTTTTGTTTTTTGTAATTAAAACATAATTTACATATTTCGTAATATATTTTTTTCTTATGATTCCATTCTGGTTTATTTCTTTTACATAAATTACATAATTTTCTATTCCCACAAGTCTGACAATTATTAAAATATTTCTTTGTCTTCCAATCCCAATTTACTTTGTTTTTGTTACATTTAAAACACCAAGCTGCCCGTTCTTTTACTAAATTTTCTTGGCATGTTTTACAATTACGATATTTTTTTTGTTTAAGATTTCCACAATTGCAAATATTTTCAGATTCAAAAGGAGTGATATGTTCTTCTCCTGTGAAATACCACAATTCGTTGTTGAGAGTTATGTTGATATTTTCTGGTAATTCTTGACCTTGAAGTACACGTTCGATTTCTTCAAGATGGTAAAAATTTCTTGGTATTTCAAATACACGTTCGTTTTGAAATACATCCTCGATCAAATGGGAGAATAAAGAATTTGGGAATTTTTTTAATAGAATATTAATATTTGTTGATATTTTTTTTCGTTCAGTTCCAACGATGAATTCTACACGACGATGTATACATTTTTTACAATATTTTTCGTATTCGGGATATTTGATAACATCACATCTATTTGCCCAACATTTTTGGCAAAGGGGACTATTCCATTTAATATCAAAATTATCCATGTTTTGGATACTTAATATGAGTCATTTTGTTGAATTTATAATCAAATAATTATTAATTTGAATATCAAATATTATTAAAAGCGAATTAAGAATTTAAGAATTTTTTTTGCAGATTAGGCCACACCAATTTAATTTTCTGTTTAACATAACCCCCCCCCTCTCTTTTTAAAATATTTATATAGTATTAAAA